CGCAAGAATTTTTAGCATGTATTTTCTCGCTTCTGACGTCATTAAAAAAGAGATAGACAATGCGAGGGGTCAGGAGCCTTAAGCACTGAACGTAATGACAATTAACAGCTCATACACTGCATGTCTCTCGTTACAGCCATTCTTCAAAAGATTTGGGATTACGTCTGGCTGCTAACCTATATATCTTATCAAGTACTCTTCATCGTTTTCCCGACCAAAGCGTTGATCGAGGTGGACCTCCCTATAGCTTGCAGCGTGGCCTTAACCATGGAGCAAGTACGCACGTTTCAGAATTTCAAGTAGCATTATACATAAATTTTCTATTCTTTCTTCCCCCAAGAAATCAATTATGCATCAAATAATATATCCAGCTACATTTCTCATTGATGCCAATATGATCGCAAATATGATACCCTAAGGAACCCTAAAGATACCCTTAATCTTGCAACGACGATTTGATCTTTCCTGTGTAAACGATGTTGGTTCTTCAGCTGCGCCAGTTGATGAAGATTCACGCCTTCGTTAGAAGCGTGGGAGCCAAATTCGTGTCGTATAAACCGCATACCGAAACTCCAAGACCGAGCAGTCCAAGTTTCTCGCATTACTTATATTTTCTGTTCGCGCCGACTCTGGTATACCGCGACAGTTACCCCAGGTGAGACGATTTCGTCATCGTGAAGCTACAAGAACGCGCTGAAAGGACTGTGGACATGAGCGCGATCGATTTTCCAGGACGAAAGAGATCAGGTGGAAAGTAGTATTGCGCAATTTCGTTGAACTCGGCATGGTGATCTTCTACCTGGCCTTTATCATGGAACGTTTCATGATTCCGACCTTCCACATTTTCGGCACACAATCCTTAGACTGGAGGTGGTACCTGAAGAGTATCCTCGGCACGACGGTACCCGGCATACTGATATTTACTTCCGGATTCTATGGCTTGCTGCACGTCTGGATGAATGCCTGGGCGGAAATGCTGCGATTCGCCGATCGCTTGTTTTACAAAGTGAGTCTCTCGATTATCTCGAGATCGCATTATACACCATTACAGGCCGATATTTATGGTCCGATCTTATATATAAGACTGTTCCCAGACAGCACAAACTAAAAGATGTCTCCCTGGCCCTTTAGACATCTTGGAAGTTTGCGTTGCCGAAATCTTAGAGGAAACTAAAATGGGGAGGATATAATTACACAGTACGTCTAAAATCGGGACATAAGACGTCTAAAATACGTCTTTCAGACGTCGGAATATAAGACATCTTTAAGACAAATTTATAAGGTATTGTCTTAAAGATGTAATAAAGATATCCTAAAGACGCCTTATGACTCGATTTTGGACATTTATGCTGTCTGTTACAACGTTTTGTAGTCATAATAAAATCCTTATCATTATTTTTGCAGGACTGGTGGAATTGCACATCTTATCGTACGTACTATCGCACTTGGAACGTCGTGGTGCATGATTGGCTCTACACGTACGTCTACAAGGACATGTACGAGATTGTATCGCCGCGCAACAAAGCACTGGCGACCTACACCGTTTTCTTCATCTCGTCAATCTTCCACGAGTATTTATTAGCGTTCACATTTCGCTTCTTTTACCCCGTGATGCTGTTCATGTTCGGCGGCATCGGCTATATGATGGTGTTTGTCGGACGTTCCGCGGGCAACATCTTTATGTGGACGAGCCTCTGTATAGGCAGCGGCATCATGACCAGCATGTATGCGATAGAATACTACGCCAGGATAAACTGTCAACCTTACGACAACGAGTACCTGGATATGATCCTACCGCGCAGCTGGTCGTGTCAGCCGTGGTCCACCGCGTAAAACGCACCGGAACAGAATGCACGCACACACACACACATATATATATATATATATATAT